AAATGACATTGGATGGGAAGACTTGAAGTCTAGATACCTGTTGGAATGTGTCGGTTTTCTGTAGAGGATAGTATTCAAACCATCGTCTATCCTTCCTTTTATCCTACAATCCAACATAGGCAATTCTCCGCGTTCATTTTCTACCTCGTAAGTGAATTGGACTGCGCCTACTACTGAGTTTATATATGTGAGGAAATCGCCGATATGTTCCGATTTCAACACAGTGAATGTGTCATCCACATGTCGTCACCATATTTTTGGTGCAAGACTAAACGTTGGTAAAGTCATGTTTTCTCAAACATCCATAAATATATCTTCTAAGATTGGGGGTATTGGAGATCCCATTGCTATTCCTTCTGTTTGTCTGCATATTTCGTCCTTAAACTTGAAGACTGTGGAGGTCAGGGCCAACTGTACGCCCAATCAAGTCAACCAGCTCAGAGAACACAATACTATCAAAATCATTCTCCTGGGCTAAAAATATTCTGCGTCATCTGAAAAGAGATCAATTTTTACCAACTGTTCTGACACCTATCAACCAGACAGACCAGAAGAACAAATTTGTTACCCTGAATATGTCATCTTAGAGAATGTTACTTAACCTTCGCTTGCATAACTGACACATATTCTCATATTCTTCCATCTCCATAGTTTCCAACTATGTTTGCAATTATTACTGTTTCAAAATTTTGGATTCATCAATTGTCAGTGCCTTCGTGATCATAATTTAACCTTTCGTAGTTTAGGTGGGACGACGTTTTCGGTCAAATTCTGTTACAAACAATAATATGCAAACCGAAAGTTTCATTGTTTCCTTTAAATCTTGTAATTGTTATTTTGTTTAAATCTGTCAGAGGAGTCAAACGTATACAGTACTTCAAATGAAATGCTTTTGTGATCTGGACAATAGATCGGCATGCATCAAATGTAGCTTCGAAGGCATAGAGACCAGATATGGTAATCATTGACAAAATATTCGTTCCGCTTTGCTAGCTATTATTTTCGGCCGGGAAAGTGTGCACTATTCATTCTCACCTCTCAGCATTATCCTATGTACCCAGTCAGAGGTCAGTTTAAATCCATGAACAGTTCAATACTTAGATATCTTGTGAGTTCAGAATACGAAGCTCTTCCCGAATCTCGTTTGAAAAGTACCAACAAATTTATATTGACTCGTTCTATGGGAGTGTGGTTTCAAATCCTATGTGTGGTGAGAAAGCCAGCAATACACCATCTCACACTTAAACTTTGTATACAGAAGCTGTATTTCTGATCTCTGCTGATGTCACAGTCTTCAACTCCACCTCGACATTCATCGTTTCATTATTTTCAACTAATTGATAACATTTCATACCACACCTAGAAAATCCCTGACCTTGTTGAAATCACTTGCTTCGCTGGTGAGTTTTGTCACCTCATTCATAATTACTTAACACTGGCGTATCTACAGAAATGACTTTCGATTTCGTCTTCAAACATCACACACAACAGTGACAACCTCATAATAATAAACGATAATAAACTGTGGTCAAATTCTAATGGTTACATGACTCTTCAGCTTCGATAATTGATGAGGACCGAAAAGAAAACTGCTTCTTTACTATTCTGCTTTTCTCTTCCCTTTCACTTAACTGGTATCATTTTCCTTTTCTTTCGCATACCACGATATAAAGTATCGTGTGGTTTCGGTTATTACAGAAATGTGACACAAAATTGATACCAATGAAACAAAGTTTAAAATGGAATGGTGATAATGATGATAATAAAAGTGAAATGCACACAGTGAAGGGAAATGAAATTGACAAACTGACCAGAATGAATTGTTAATGTCAATGTAGAGAAAGTGGTTTCATAAAGCGTTCTCGAACCCAAAGCTTCGGTTTTTGTTCATTTATAACTAATGCTTCAGCTATGCATAAATGGTGGAGACGTAAACCTTTGTAGTAATTCAATGTAACTTTGTATGTTACCCTAAAGGATGAATCTCGAGGAGCTGAATGACCGAACTCTACTAGGCATTCACATAGGGAAGAAGTTGTGAAGACAGGAGTGAAACAAGGCTGTCTACTATCACCCATGATATTCCTGATTGTAGTAGACTGGACCATGCAACAAACAGTGAGGAGCGAGAAGAGGCGGATACGCTGGACCGTGGAAAAGATTTCAGAGGAAGATTTGGATTTCGCCGATGACTTGTGTCTGATGTCGCACAAACTGGAAAATCTACAGGCAAAAACTAACAAGTCGACAGAAGAGGCAGCGAAGACGGGACTTCCTTTAGGTGAAGGTAGAGAAGACAGAGGTGATGAAGATACCCAAACACCACTACCAACAACAGTAAACTCTAATCACCATCAACGGGAGAAACTTAAATAAAGTTGCCTCTTTCACCTATCTAGGCAGCACTGTTTCAACTACAGGTGGCACAGACGAGGATGTCAAAGTCAGGATCGGAAAGACAGCAAGACAGGCGTTCCTGCATTAACCTGAAACCAGTGTGGAGATCTTCTGCACTTAGCATAAAGCATGAACAAGATGCGGATTTTCAATTCCAACGGCAGTCAAGTCAGTGCTTCTGTATGGCTCAGAGACTTGGCGCGTTACGAAAGGGATTTCCAGCAAACCACAGACATTCATCAACAACTGCCTACGCTGGCTCGTCACTGAAGCTCAGATACCCAGAAAAAATGGGCAACAAGGAACTCATTGTGGCTGTCAACAAACCAACCAAGAAGCTATCACTGAACAAATATGCAGAGGGAAGTGGAGATGGATTGGGCATAAACTGAAAAGGCCGACTGGAGATATCGCGCGCCAGGCCCTCAAGTGGAACCCCGATGGGCAGCGACGAGTTGGGAGTCCGAGGTGAGGGTGACATGGAGGAGATCGTGCGAGGAGGAAATGAGAGCTTGTGTGCTGTCGTGGAGCCAGGTTCAAAAGATTGCAGAGAACAGAGTGCACTGAAGATGTGCTTTAGAAGCCTTATGTTCTCTATGTTTCATTAGGAACCCAAGGGATAAATAATAGTAATAATAACGTACGCTTAGCTGAAGCATTAGTTATAAATGAACAAAAACCGAAGCTTTGGGTTCGAGAACGCTTTATGAAACCACTTGCTCTACATTGACATTACCAATTCATTCTGGTCAGTTTGTCAATTTCATTTCCCTTCACTGTGTGCATTTCACTTTTATTATCATCATTATCACCATTCCATTTTAAACTTTGTTTCATTGGTATCAATTTTGTGTCACATTTCTAGTGGATGTACTTCAGTCTTGTACTTGTTTCTCATCTTCTCAGCTAAATATTTCCTCCTATTTCTCTACCGCTTCCTTTCCACACTAAAGATCTTCCATAGATTGTCAGTGTGAGAAGGACCTATTTTAACCAGGATAGTACGACACGGCCCTGATGATTTTTAGTAACCTCAATGTTCTATCTATTCCATTCATTACAACTTAAACCAGGTAGTCAATGCATCTTTGTCTCAAGTCGTATTAGATTGTTTATTTGATGTAGCACATAGTGATACAGTATAGTTTACTTGATGACGTTCCAAACAGAGTTTTTTTGCTCACATTCATATTAAAGTAATCATACAACTTTCACATCACCTTAATATAGTCCAACAGTTTATTTATTTATTTTAATGGTGGTAAAATTCTCCACATACATCTGAAATATGTGATGAGTCGTTCCTGTTACATAGGTTAGGCGTGGATTCAGTGAACGAAAATTCTGTGATCAATCTCTCCCTCCACCTAGCTATATTGGATTTTAGTACTGTCACTCCATTGCATCCTGTAGTGTGATTAGGGTCAGTGCATGCAGAAAGATAGCTGAGTCTTTTCTAAATTACTTATCTCAGTAGGGTCGACCAATGTATGTGTCGCCAAACTTTCGTGTTCCGCTATTCTGATTGACCCAGATCGGCTGCTTTGACCTATTACTTGATCTTACAATCATTACACAATATCTGATAGATTAGGTTACTTTTTTCAATTGGCTCTATCAGATCTTTTAGGCTGCAAAGTTTCTCTCTCCGTGGATGATGGGAAATCCAAGTACCTATTAGGATATGTTAGTTTCCTATCAACACTGGTATCTAAGCTTCCATCTTCTCTCCTCTTGGTTTCGCAATCCAATACAGATATTTCACCTTCTGCATTTTTTAATTCATAAGTGAATTGGATTTCATCTACTATCAAGTTGGTGTATGCGAAAAAAACTCTGGATATGTTCTAATTTCACCACAGTAAATGTGTCATCTGCATATCGTCACCATACGTTTGGGGTGGGCTGGAGTGTTTTTAATGCTAGTTGTACCCAACTACCTATAAATATGTCTGGTACGATCAGCGATATTGCAGATTCCAGCTCTACTCCTTCAGATATTTTGTCTTGAAATTTGAAGACTGAGGAAGTTAAACATAACCTTACCCCGAGCATAATTTGATCAATAGAAACTTTAATTCTCTTACTGAGTTCATCGTCAGTTGCGAGTCCATTTCTGACTGATTCAAGCACCATATTAATTGGGATATTCGTATGCAGACTCATTACATCAAAGTGATAGTCGTATGGTTACTCTGACGTGAATATGAGCAATAAGTTCTGCTTGAAACGTCATCAACGAAATTACACTATGTCACTCTGTGCTACACCACATAAAAAACCTAAAATGGAATTATATTCTATCACAGTTCCCTAGCCTTTCCCTTACATTGTCTGAAGTCTACCTGATAACATACAAATTTTTCGTTTACCATTTCTTTCTTCTAGAAAGCAACGTTGTCAGAAAGTCATGCGGATAATTTGACGTTCTTGACAGCTTGCCGTTGTTAATCCACAGATGAAGAGCATCAATTTAATCAATTTCAGCTCTATTTTCGGCAACACCACTCTTGATAATTCGATTGACAGACTTTGATTTAGCAAAAAGAGGACTAACAGCGTTAATCTAATACTCATTAGGCACAAGTAAAGCTACACTTATTCAAAAGTACTTCCAACTTATTTACCAGAACTTGAATTACATACCATAACCCGACTATGTTATACAAAAGGCATGACAAGAAAATGGTGATAAAGTAAATAAATTATGGCGAAAATAGATAATGATATTATTTATGAGTAAAAAAGTGAACACTTTATGCGTGAAATAAAATCAAAACGATAGAATATGCAACAAAATTTTGTCACGCAATAAGCCATGCAATAGAAGGAAGGATAGATTCATTTTTCTCATATTTTCAACAAAGATGAATATTCATAACTGGAAGTAATCAGATCATTAAAAAAATATGTCAGTCTATAATGTTACATAATTCTTCCATTTGAATTCTCACTGGATGGATTTTACTTAGATAGGTCAGCTCAAGGGAAAGAGATTTTGTATTCACATATTGACAGTTCTCTTTCTTATCTCGGTATTCACATGCGAAAGTAGATGTGTCCGTTCGTCATCAGTAAGAAAAGCAGCCTCAGCTGCATTGTAATTCGCCTCATACACATGACTAGGTTCCAAGCCTAATTCACTGGTGCAATAATTAACTTCTTCTAAATTCCATCTCTGAGTCAATGTAGGGTCGTCGGTGTTGATGGAGAAGCTGACTTTGTCTTCAATAAAACGATGTATAGGATGCTTCCTTGGATCTTTTACATCTACGGCACCAGTTACGAAACTCGATGATGGACATAACTAGCAAACCAAAGAAGGCACAGAAAATCATTCATTACACCTTAATAACATTACGTATTCATTATGATTATCAACCAAAAGTTATTCTAATGAATATTTTTGATGGATCTGGAAATGCTTTCAGAGTCAAACTCGTATAAACCGATATTAAAATAATGCTATTAAGTGGCTGTGGAGAATCAACAGTAAGCACTGAGTCAAGCTTTGATGCCTGTTGGCACTCGTAAACTCAACTCCTGTTGTCATATGCCTGAGTTTACAATGAAAAGTTGTGCAAGATACTTTCACAGCACATTTTAAATATGCTGTGTCAGTTATTGTAAGGCTGAACGGTTAATGATCGCCACTTTACACGCGTATCAGAATAACCCGTACTGAAAAGTAGGCATGCTCAGATAGGAGCCATTACGCATCTACAAAGGATTTGGCCCTATTGAATGACTTTTCAATGTTTAATGGGAGCATGTTATAATGAAACACTAACTACAGAATGTTTTTGATCATACAGAAACGCCTGTCAAGTACATTTCAAACACAGTCAGTCGATGACGCAGACTGAAGAAATGCCTCCACGTTTTCTATGCGACTCATACTGGAGGAAACGAGAATACCGAGACGCAGGAAGGAATGATTATTATTGACATCTTGTACAGTACTCATCCAATATTGTACACCTTGCACTAAGACAGTCATTTGCATAATGTGCTTTATTTCCTCTACTGCTTCTATATTGATTTGCTCTCAATAGGCCCACATTGTCTTCTGAGTTTCTCTGGGCAGAATCTTTACCCATTTCTCGTAATTTCTGATGATTTCTGCCACCTTCTCAACATATACTACTTAAATCCATTCTGATCAACAACCCCCACTACACTCGTCCTCCCACCACAATTTCTGGCTTGCAGCCATGTAGATCGTCTTGGTGTTGTCTTCTCTCGGTATTCAAGCAAAGGTTCCCACCGTCTCCACATTTGAAGTAGACTGGCGTTTACTCTTTTCTTTTGTCCCCTCGACTGAGGACATTCCTCTTCATGCTTTTGTGTGACCTAAACCAGTGAAAATATTGAAATGACAATTATTATACTAGTTATATATATATATATATATATATATATATATATATATATATATATATATATATATATATAACTCAGAAGAGACAATGCAACGTGAACAGATGGTAAATCAAACTATTCTCTGGGTTAGTCCTAAACGACTACAAACGGCGCTCATCCACACGTCACTTTATCAAATACTTCGAAAGTAATGAGCCGCTTGTTCTATATGTGTGACACAGGAAGACGAAAAATTTAAGTGACCTTAGTCATTGCTCCTACCTCAAAGTGTACACCAGCATCGCGAACTGATTTATATATTGTGTCATCGTCTAGGACATGGTACCCATGACCGACACGTTCAGCGTGTAATATGGTTACTGCTTCATAAACGCTCTTTGCTGAGCTGTTTTCACCAACATGGACGGTACGGTGAATATCCGACTTCTTAGCTTCTTGAAATGTTTGGACAATTTCACTCGCCAGAGGTTCTTTTTCTAAAATGGAGTCGTCACCTGTTTGAAATGAGGTGGAAATTGGAGAGTATACGGAAAGTTTGACAAAAAGAGAAATTGTTATGAGGATTATTCATCTTGCTTTAAACGAGATGACAAGTTAATGTTAAGCGTTTTAATGCTCTGCTAATCATTGCCAGCAGAATATATCCGATAACTTGCTCAATTCCATCCGTTAGTTGATACAACAACATTTTGTATTTCATGAAGTATTTAGAATTGTCTAGCGAACATGCCCACTTTTCCTGTTGGTTTTCATACAGAGGAAAATCTGTACTCTAGAAACCATTAATTTTCATAGGAAGTAAACCCTGGTACTTTATGAACACAACCAGTAGCAAATTACTGCTCTCTAATTCTGAACACTCAATTTATTTTCGATTTAGTGTTGTTCTTGTTATTCAATACCTGCTTAATTCCTATCTTAAACTCTCTTTTCTTAGGCTGCCAACTTTTATTAATAATGATGATGATTTCATCCGAAGTATTCTATTTCTGGTGGATTTATTTTGCAGTTATAAGAATATGTTCATCCAGAAGAAAATTTCATTCTCAATAGTTATTCTTCCCTTCTTCACACTCGTTGTTCATTTCAAAGCATAGATATTAACATGAAACTTATTGTTTTAGGAGCTTCGTCTTTCACTGTTAATTCCCTGTGAAACAATGAATGGTTCAAAAGTGAATTGTTAACGAAAAGAATATGCCCAACTATGCTGCTTTCAGTTAAAATGATAGACTTGACGACGGTCTCTGACGGATTGAATCCATGTGATAGAAAATTTAGTGTTATAACGCATCCATTTGGTAATATTTTCATATTCCAGGAAGACATCAGTGACCAACGTCAGGCAGTTTCTAACTGTGCAGAAACAGTTGATCAGTCCGTTTTTCCACCGGACACTCTTTACTAGATGTCATTTGACGAAAACTGTCTTCAAATTACACTAATGTCACATCCGAATATAGCTACTGAATGAGACTGATTGCTAATCATTTAGTTGTGATGAAGAAAAAGACATCTTTATCACTTCAACACATTTTCGGTCAACATAGTATGCAGATAATCTATTCTAGAGTAAAGCGAGCTGAAATACTGCTCAAAATATTCAACTCCTTCTCCCTCACTTAGACAAACATACTTTCAGAGTTACAGTTTAACGAACTATGAAATGATTATTTTGGCTTTCCGAGATAGCCGTGGCTTGGTAGACTTACCGGATGACACTGGGTGGTGATTGAAGGTGAGATGAAAATCCGTCTCACCACAGGATTCAAACCGGATTTTCGTACCAACTTCAATCATCACCAACTATAAGAACCAAGAAACTTTCATTGATATTAGCCTAGATGGCATCGTTAATGTATTCCAACAAATAAAGTGGAAATGTGTAGTGGGATTCTTTCCAACGATGATAACTTTTCACACGTCACTATACAACTGTGCTGAACTGCTTACTATACGTAGAATAACTTTTTGAACTTAGACAATTTCAATCTACAAAACATTTAGGAAAGCACGCTAATACCACAACTGTCACTGGGCAGAAAAACAACTTATCAGGCAGTCTCCACAATTCTGGGTACTTCTTCTGACTACTCTGGAAATATCCTGGAGTTGTATGACTGGAAGTGATGAACAAGTGATTATTGGCAGAGAACTAACCAGCACTGACACCATCAAAATGTTTATGCTCCCTTTTGAGACTCCTTTTTATCTTTAAAAGCAGAAGCTCAGTATATGATTTTCAAGTTACAAAAATCAAAACTTGGCTAGTCACCCCGTAAAAGCAAAGTCAATACATGAATAACACACGAGATACTGACCAGTGTCACACCATAGTTTTCCAGTGGTTTCCAGTGGTAAGTTACAGTCAGCAAAGCGATTCGACTGTGGTATAATGCACACTGTATTTGAAATGGTGGAGAATATTTGTTGTTCAGGTGGATGGTCTTGGTTGTATTGTGTTCCCTGGGATGGGTTGTTTAGTCGTGGAGCTTTCGTCGTCTTCCTAGACGACATCTTCAGCATCAACTTCAGTATGAAATGTGTTTAGTAGACCCTGTGGCACAAATTGACATAAGGACATTTGTCATTACTACTAGAGACTGCTAATACACGAAGATTAGCCTCCTGTCTACGATTTATTGATAACTTTCATAGACAAACATCATTTATAATCCATGTACACAGCGTTTGTCGCTTCACGTTCAAAGTGATGAGTACTTTGTTCGAATCCGTTTTGGAACACAATTACTCATTGGGGTGCAAGTACATCCAGCTAACGAGACCAAAACAGGAAGAAATGCGCATTTTGGATTCCAGTGCTAGCCACCAAGTAAAATGAGATATAATGAACATTCCGGTAGTATCGGGGTATCCGCATAGGAGATCTGTCAACAGATGCCAAACAATCCAATACAGTATTACAATGGGAGATAACAAGTATCGATAAATAACGTTGTCGCTGCTTTCAGTAAAGGTCAAGTCATCCTCTCTTCCAAATTGTTGTGCATAAATTCACATTGAGATGGTCTGAACTAATGTGGTTTCATTGTAATTAACTGTTCTCATTAAGACTATCACCAACATGCATCAGGATATTTTTATAAAATAAACGTGTTTAATAGCAAAATATTTTGTGATAAGCCAGGCATCAGTGCATGTCAGCTGACTGAGTCAGGTGAATAATTATTGAGATCGCAGCCCACCAAGACTGATAACAAGTATCCTTAACGTCGAATGTGGATATCTCAACTCAATATTTTACATGAAAACTGTGCGGTGTTTGCCACATTGAGTGTCGGATTTTAAACCTTAGGAGAAAAAGGAAAAGGTGTGACTGAGTCATATATCCATGATGATTCCTATAGATAATAAAATGTATATCAGTAATCTGATTCCCAACTGACAGAATTTTCTTTACAGCATATCATTTAACCCATTGTGTTAGTTTCGCTCGATGAGCATCTTTGTCAAACATTAGAGCAATTAAACTTAGAGATATTTTGACAACAATGAGAATATAACACAATACAGAGTCATTAGGATGAAGTTGATAAATCATAACACAAACGAGAAATTCAAAACAAAAATTTAATCGGCTTTTCATAGATCGTGAGAGTTTTAAGACCAATTATTAGGGACGTTGTTAAGACGTGGAGAAACATAAGTGTTAAACAGATTCCCAGTGATCACCATTAACATAGAAGCACATGATTTTACGAACAAAGCAACTAACCTGCAATATCTATAGCAACAACTCCATGTGGTTTATACTTCTTGGCCAGCTCTAATGTTTGCTCAGCTGTTTCAGGCATATGTCTCAGGATTGATAAGATAGTACGAACTTCCAAGTTATGTTGTTTGCTGGCTATTTGCAGCGCTTCAAGAACTGTCTTCAGTACTTGCTCTGCGTCGAAATCAGGACCTGTTAAGATGAATGGACAAAATCTTGTCTCTACATAACATAGTCCACCGTGGTTTACACAGTCTTCCACGAATTCGTTGCAGATACGCACTAAAACATCCTGAGTGGAGTTGGTAAAGCAAATATAAAGAAATGAATAGCAAATCAGGTTAGAGCTTGAAACCAAAGTAGGTTTTCAAATGGTAGATGACAAAAAATCAAGTCGGCAAACCTGACCTGAGTTCGACAAATTGGAGATACTAAGCTCTTTATCGTAAACTTACTGTAGCTAGTATATGAAATGGACAGTATAACCCGGCTTTTGTGTCATGCAGATAACATGAACTTCAGTCTTCGTAAATATCTGAAAAGTAAGAATTCTGGCTATTCAACCTTCATAGGTAAAATCCCTCAACTCCATTTATATTTTATAGTCACCTGTTAAGTGGTGACTTACTTAGTGCTATGTATCATGGTGCTGTAGTGCCTCCTCCTGACTACAGAATAAAATTAGGTTGAAAACAAACATAAAAACCAATCAGATACCGGAAAAATACTTTGGTATAGTGAGAACGGATGTTGGCAGTCTCCTAAAATTTGCTTTAATGTACACGTATCAGCATGCAGTCCACCACTATCCTGTGTCTGATTTGTGATGTGTACCAGCTACATATTTATAGCTCGTAATAAAACCACGTCTAATCAGATAAGTTCTAAATACTATTACCAAACGGGGACATTTTTAACCGACCCGTAATTTCATTTGTCTTCCTCTATCAGCAATTAAACGTTAAGTAGTATTGTTGGTAAAGTGGTGCTCACACTTACCAACCATGTACCAGAAGTGCTGCTTTGGCGCTTTGCAAACGCATTAGAATTATCAGTTAGTGTGTGAAAAACGTCAACATTTTCAAACGAACTTTCTTGAAACATTATCAGTCTACTGAAATAGACCAAGGAGCTCAGAAACTCCCCGTTTCTCATACTGTTACTACTGATCTTGGATTTTGTAGAGATCCAAGAGAAATTTCGGTCAATTCTCCGACGCTCCCCTTCATCATTAACCAAGAGTACAGTATTATTACTGAATCAACACTCAATTCGCATCAGCTTGTTTAGTTCAAGCAGAGCTTTTGGCAAAGAATCAAATATATTCAAATCGTTAACCTTTCTGAGGGTACTTTAAATCGATATTGTCATGAAGACTTAGTCCCTTTGGAAATGAGCTGTGGGTATGTTCTACAAGCACTCTAGAAAGAGGGTGACCTTTCCACGATTGGTTAGACTTTTGACACTATTGTGAGCACACAGCAAAAATCATTGTGTTTTGTTTCGCTCTGGTCGAAGTGATCTGCGACTAAAGTAAGACGGAATCTTTTTAGGTTGAACTTCCTATACCCACTGCACTAATAGTTCGGCGTACCTGCTTCCTCAGTGTAAACGGTCTCTTCGGTACACTTTACTGAGGCTTCTCAAATCTTTTGTTATCCCACTCACGTGTCACCTGTTTTGATCAATTTTGACCTACCATTGTGCGAGATAGTCTAACAAAAATGCCACAGAAATGCTTGTGGTAGGCCGAAGTGCCAATTTGCAGCGGCTTCTGCTATGCATTGTATCGAATGAAAACGTTGATATCACGATAACTGACAGATCTCACGCCTGCAGCATCCAAACATATAGTGATCCAGGGGATATTTGGCTTTGACTGCTCAGACGCCCAGATATTTGCCGGTTGATAGGGAAAAGAATACACTTTGAAATACCAACACGAAGAAGTTAGCATCCAAAAGAAAAGTTAATGATCGTGATAAGGATGGTGACACAGCCTCAGTTGACAAACAGATCACTGTGCAGAATCTTAAAAGTGGTTCACGGTAGACCGAAAGTCAGGTGAGGAGACTACCTTCAAAGTAAACCAATGGTGGATTAGAAGCTGAAAAAGCAAGGTGAAGAGATTATCTTTAGCTCTCCACATCCCTAGAGCTAGCAAACCTAGCCTCAAAACTACTGACCATAAGAATAGGTCAACCTTCGATGAAAGGTGCAGGAATAGAGCACTATTAGTGCTACCTAGACCACAATATGAAGCCCAGTCCCGCGCGTTCGAGTGATCCATCTAGTGAGGCTATTAATATCAGCGGACCCAGAATCGCGTGACAATTTCAAACATCACCTTGGTAAAGTCCAGAGTTTGGTAAAAAAGCGATTGCCAGAAAAAGACACTTGAGATCACCCCACTCAAGATATATAGAATATGCAAAAACGAGGCTCATTTGTTAAGGGGGTTGACTTTGAAGCAGCAGACTACGGTTTCGGGCTCCACTGCATCTACCAGGGTTTGGGAAGTCAGGTTGTGTCACTACCCTTCACACAATAGGTGTGGGTCACCAGCTACCGTACGAATATGCACAAAACTGATGAGTTCAGTTCGACTTCAACCTCTAAGAAAGAGGTATTTCCTGAAGAAAATAGATTTCCGTTCACCTTCAAGTCAACAGAGGAGGACCTTATTCCGAAGAATGCTCATAAGCTTCAAGGAACTGAGGTGTTTGTGCGCATGGATTTGTCTCTAGCTAATCAAACCAAAAAAGGAAACCAGAGGGGAAGAGAGTGGTATAGAAGTAGAGGATTTTCGTGCAGTGAAGCTCCGGAAACAAGTGATTAAGAAGCTTCTATGGGTAGAACAAAAACTCAATTAGGCAGTTTTATTTTCTTGCGTAAAAATGCCGGTAGTCCCGTGAACCAATGGACCGGGCCTAGTAATATGGTAGGCATAGAAAGCCCTTGTATAATTGATATCTCAGAAACGTGTCTCTCTTATGAGATCAGTGACAATGAAATAAATTCACAGGCATTCATTCTTTTTCGGAGTGATAGATTTTCATGCAAACGTAGTGATGTTATTCTTTACGTGAAGAACACCCCATCTGCAAAGGACATAGGTACGGTCGTATGCGAAAGGTGATCATGTGAAATACTTCTTTGCCGACTAAAGTGCATGGGACAAGATGCTAACCTAGTCGTAGCATATCGAAGGTGTAAATGTGATGCGTAAGACTTTCTCCTCATAAAGCCTGACTCTTGGTACAGATAAATGCAAATGCCTAGTTGTGGGAGACTCCAACGCATCATCATTTGACTGTCACAACTTAACAATAGAAGCATCGCGCAATTCGTTCGATCATATAGTGAGTGAAATATCAACTTCCCTGACTGCTATGTAGCACATTAATTCAACAGCCCGATCCAATCATCAGCATGCTCCATCAGTTCTAGACTAAGTATTCTCTCACACAAGTGATGTAAGCCTCACCCAGCTCCTCTCACCTCATGCTGAGATTGCATTCAGATTCACAGAGGCCATCTTTTGCCAGACCGACACTACAGAAAGCGAAAATGGTAGCCTTCTTGGAAGACTGGACACAACTTGGGAGTACCACCGAGATTACACGTTCCTACTTGAGACAATTCTGCGCGCAAGTGGCCTAACCGTTCATTAAGTGAAACATCCGTAAGGGACGGTAGCAACGTTCTCCGTAAATAAACCGTTAAATCCGAGGTTAAATAAGACGGGGAAAAGCGTTTTGGTGACTTGCCACTCGCCCTAGTTCTCCCGAGGTGAAGAACCATTATGAAAAAGACTAGAATAAACATATTGCTGCTATCCGTTATCCTTGAATGTGCTTCGAAATGGATCTCACCCAGGCTGCAGTACGATATCCCAAGAGGTCATTTTCTTATATAAAATACAGGAATAAAAGATATCGTGGCGTTCCCATCCCAACCAAAGAAACGGAAACTAACCGATTAATTGAAGACGATGAGCATAAAGAAGAGGTAATGGTGAGACACTTTGTTATAACATCTACCCAGGAACTTTTGATGAGCAGGAATACAACAACAGAATAGACTCCGTGAAAATTGATCGCCTTGATGTGTTTAGGACATTACAAACTTCGGATGTCAAAAAAACGACAGCACCAGGTGAGGTGTATCCAAAGTTGCTCAGAAAGCCTGTAATCTACATATTTGTCCCGCTGACTACCATATCTAGACTGTCTTTTAGTAAAAGCACACTCCCATATGACTGAAGGAACATAATAATCACACCTTTTCACAAGCCACATTCTACGCGGCACACTTGAAATAACAGACTGGTAAGTCTGATGACTACTGTGATAAAGTTCTTAGAAAGAATAGTCGAGAAAGATATTACGGTCCACCTAGAAAGAAACGTGCTGGTTTCCTGTTTGCAACATCACTTTCGCAGAGCTTTCCCTTGTTCAACATTTCCATACACTTTAGCAAGACGTTTGACAGGTACCTTATTCCAGGTTGCTCATGAGACTGGAAAGTTCCAGAATCGCTGACAATCTACTTTCACGGATCGTAAAGTTCTTTTTTGGTAGGAGATAAGGAGTAAGGATCAATTCCCAACCCTCCTCTTGGAAGTAGAGTGGCAGAGGGAGTGATCCTCACTCCTCTGCTTTTTACTCTGTTTATAAACGAACTGGTGAATTTTATCAGTCACCACAACGGTTCTCTACGCTGATGATGTAAAACTCAGGTGAGAAATTAGGGATGACGAAAATGGCATAACACTTCAGAGAGACCTAAGCAGCTTCTTAACTTGATCAGAGACATACCTGGTACCAGCCAACTCAGATGGATGCATGAGCATGCACATGGAGCATCTGGATGACGATAACCCATGATATTCATGGGACTGCTCCACTTGCAGCATTGACCCACAATCATCAGTGAGCCACAGTGTGTCATGATTTGAAGACCACAGAGCACTGTCGATTAGTGATTTGGAGCACTTTGGACATTACGCGGAACTTTTACTAAAATCAATGATGACGCGTACAAATTCTTTGCATGTCTTTAGTGAAATCTAAGCTTGGTTACTGTGCATGAGTGGCAAATCATTATCTGAAAGGTTTGTCAAGCCTTCTATAAAGAGTTCAGAGGGCGGCCACTCGACTTCAGCAAACAGAGAGCAGATGTAATCGTCTTTCACAAGACTATAAGAAATGACCCTAGACCTGATCCATTTTCTATTCTTCTTTCCATTAGGTTAGGAAACCTCATAGGATATATTAGGGGAGCACAAAAGAAAAAGACGAACATTGTTCCCATAAAGTACTGGTTTTGTGTCAAGTAATCACCCCCTGAAACCGAGATCCAGAGGAAGCAGCATCTACATCACCATATTACCTGCTCAAAATGGGAATGGGCAAATGCGTAGATTAACTTGAAAAGGATTGAAATAGACTATTGGCTCCTATCCTCACATCTCAAATCTGAATCTGAAAAGTCAAATCTGAGTAAATTGTTAAGGACACCAATACTTCGCACTTGATGACTCTGCTAGTACTGACATCGATCTTGAAGCAGTTTAAACGATAAATAAAACCCATTTATTGAGTGGCAGGTATCTAAGTTTACGCTTACAAATAAAAAAATAGCCTTATTGGTTTGGGTAGAGAAAAAGTGAACCTCAAGATTTTTCGTGTTTGGTTTCAGCTTACAAAGCAAAACTTGAGAAATAACTAACCTTGTTGCCTGATATTAATGGTACAATAATCTCAAAGGCTTTCAACAGATCCTTCAGTGAATACGGGGCTTTAGGGGTTAGTTTGTCTTTGAACTTCAAAAACGTGTCCGGCCTATTCGATAACTTCTGTTGTTCTGCCAGCTCAAAGAGTGTTTCCGGCCTAACAGAACCATCCAAATGAACGTGTAAATCAATCCCGTGGGAATACTCACGGAAAAACATTTCACACTATTACCGACAGTCATAAGTGCGTCACCGACTTATAAGTACATGTTTGTGGCGTATTCAAACAAACACGTAGCTTTTTAATGACGTTTGAAAACTAAAAATGTATTCAGTATGTTCATCAAATGACATGAATTTATAGTGGCATATAATTCCTCAAAATCAGGGATCGACGAAATTCAACATTGATGCTGACCTTCATAGTTCTATCGGACTCACCAAGCTAAAGGCACACGGCCAAGCATCCACGCCATTCGGCACTTTGTCGTGTTACGTTGCTCTGCTCGTAATTGACTCTCTAGCCAGTTAGTTGGAACCCATAGGTATCTTGCCACGACCTGGCAAATATACTATTCCATCCGACTACTGTATTGTGTTCTTGCATCGACTTGTATTCGCGGGTACATGACAAGTTCGAATAATTAGTGATTTGCCTCTGTTTTTCGGGTTTACACAAAGACAATTCCTAAGCTGGTAAGCCCGTTCCTTTTCATGCATATGCATCGTCATTTCGTATTGGCGACTACTATTCATCAGCCCATGAAAGCTTCTGAGCTGTCGTGGACCCAGGTTCAAAAGTTTGCAGAGAACAGAGTGCACTGGAGATGTGCTACTGAAGCCCCATGTTCCATAAGAAACCCAAGGGACAAATAATAATGATGGTAATAATCCATATACGATCATATTCCAAGAGCTTTCCGTGTTACACCGAAAATGACCCAACTCGTGCCATACCGGTCAGAAAATCCAGAAACAAAGCTTCTATATGCTGAGGCAGATTTCCAAGGACAGGGAGTCACAGATCCCTATTCTGAATATCTTGCTGTCGTACAATAATTACTGCGGGAACTGAACAGCCGCATTGTAGAGCACATGTATGGTCCTGAAGTGAATGACCTTCATGGACCACTCAAAGCATCTCTTACCAAGAATAGCGATCTCACAGATTACCAACGCTTAGACGAATTTCCTGGTACCATCGCTGATGTGCTCGCACGCATGCGAGAAGTTATTGGCCGGCGGGCATTCGATAATGACTTTCTCCGGGAACCGCTGCTCTCAAAACTACCGTAATCGGTGCAGACTATATTGGTGGCACTCCAGCCGGTTGCAATCGACTACGGAAAACACAAAGGCCAGGATTCAGAAGTGACGGAACCACGTGACTCTGCTGATCAGTTTCCACGAACCCGTGGCCCTGAGTTGCGTGGTACAACACAGAAATGTGTTTCAGCCCATCGTAGCAACCCACGGAGTTGACTAGAAACTAAACCTTTCGGGGTGCGAAGCCCCTGGTGGTGCTGGCTTCACAATACCCACAGTGATGAACCCAGGGATTGTCAAAGACCGCGCATTTTCAACAAAGATACAAAATCAGGAACCTGCTCCGCCGACACGCGTTAACTGCAACCGCGGCCGGCGGAGAAAGCCGCCCGTTGTACGCCACTGATGCAAAGACGAAACTTCTCCACCTCATCAACCTGGTGCAGGAGTTAGCGTTCTTCCCTCAACGGCTAAGGAACGTCATCATGAACCATCCTTCAACCTTCAAGCGGCTGACGTGAAGGGGGTCGTTCTCTTTAGGGGAGGTATGTCTGCTCCAACATAAGTTCACCCAAACCTACCCGTCAGACTCTCCTCCTGTCCGACATTTCCATGCCTATCACTGACCCAGATTTACTGGACCAATACGATCCACTCGTGCATGGTCGTCGACGGAGATCGGTAGGCAACAACACGATGTCGTCTATTGGCGTTACCAACTGCGTGTCCGAGGTTAGCTACGGCTGGAACAAAACACTTAGTCGGTATCCTATCTGGCAACTCCAGAAGGCATATTCATGTATTTCGTGTATATACAGATATGATTCGCCATTAGGGACAAGAGCTTGCAATGTTCGAAGTTGGTGTTGTTACCAGCCGATGTTGCTTGTCCATTTTCGTGGTTTAGTAGCTGCCTGTGGTCGGATTCACATTTTGGCGTTTTGAGCTTATCAGCGGCTGGATGGCACGCTTTGAACGCTTCAGGGGGTTCTGTGATTGCCGCGTGGTACATAACATTGCTGGTTCTCCACAAACGAGTATGCTTCGGCCGCTGTAACTCTGGATGTTTCTCCAGAACTGCCTGATAGGATGCGTCGCCTGGTTGCTTAGTTCTAACGATGGCTGAACTCGGACCCACGTAGGTGGTCCCACCGAAAGATAACTGTGTTGTTGTCTACCAGACGTCGACGACGCGCATCTACTAGTAGGCTGTAATGGTTCAGCAAATCTATGCCAATGATGGGCATAGAAATGTCAGCTAGGAGGACAGTATATAACGCAGTAACGCTGAAACTATACGTTACTTTTACACGCGATCTTTGATTATATCTTTGGTCGATTTCTTGTTGTGCTTAGCTCATCCCATTCTTTTAGACTGCATACATTACCGTCGACTGCACATCTCACTTAAAACCTGCAATAAGAATGGGACGGCCGAAAGCAAAGCGTTCAAAGATAGATAGCGCCAGCAATAAGAACAAAAGAGTCGGTTCCACTAATATTTCAGGTTGTGACCGAAACTATCACGTCATATAATCCAGATCCCGACGAACTTACATGCCTCACATCGCTCGCCAGGGATGAAGACATTATGTCGGTCATGAATAATAACATCAAGGAAAATAGAGAACAAACTGACAGTATTGAGTCCATGACAGATGGAATCAAGAAAGTAGTTGAGGAATTCCAACCTTAGCATATCTTTTCGGGAAACAACAACCTAGTCCCAAACTATATTGAAGAAGCTGAAAAGCTAATAAATGTCCTGGCAACCGAAGTAATGAAGAAGCTGGCATCCTCTCAACAGGCAATGGTACATGATGTTCCAGATACCATATCTTTAGATATCGTCAAGAAATGGTTATTAAACTCATGTGGCATAAAGCCCATGCAATGTGACTGTAAACGCCTCCGCGAGAAATCAACACAGCTAAGTTGCCCCATTCCTCTCAAGCTCACCACCTCATATGACGCTAAGAGGTTCACTAACTGTCAGGGTCATATAAGACTAAGCAGCAATTTTAAAACTGTCACGATTGTACGGGACAAAACTCCTTGTCAGAGCAGAAAACAAAGGAGAAAAAGTCCCACCACTCCGACGTATGCAAACTACGAAGGTACTGGATGCCCTGAGAAACATTCGAATGGTGCTGCTATGACTAGTAATCCTATTGCGCCAACCACTCTGGTGGTAAAGCAATCCCAAGTTGACTTAGACCCGAGTAACCCGGATTGTTTAATTCCTCATGAAACCCCAACTATCAGCACTAGCCCCCCTAAGGTAACTACAGATAAAAACCCTTTAGCTGATAGTAACGTCATTGAACACACACCTGTAGGTAAAACCATGTACTTTAGACCTACAAAGCTCCCGAAGAAAGCCATTTTAAATGCATTTTGTCTGACGATGGCGAAGAAAACTTCGTAGCTAACATAGTTGCCATAGAGAAAACCCCCCCTGGGACATTTGGGAGGTAAGGCATCTCGAAAAGAAAACCCACTGAAAGGGCATGTTACACACCTAACCTCAAACGGTAGCAAGAGACACTTCAATAAATTGAAGGCATCTGACATTAGACAGTACCCCAGGTCACGTTTACCCAGCCACCAGGGCTCCAACAGGATGCCATACGGCATACCAAATACATTCATGTCATACAGGTCACATATACCCTACGCAAACCTACATCGGCACCCGGATGACCCTAGTCAGTACTTTGGGAATGTATATAATTACTCCCCTAATACCATCCCTACTTCTGAGCCTTATCAAAATTTTCTTGGGACCCCAAACGACATGTATGACCCATGGTTCATAGATCGTTTCGCCCTCCAGAAACACAAGCCTGGAGCTACCATCCACGGTTTGCGCCGATCATGAACTGCACTATACGTCACCACTAAGAATGAACAGCGCATCAACTACGTATACGCACCCTCAAAAAGCAAATGATCATAAATCATTGCACAATGAACATTCACTGGTCACATCGCCGTTCACCACCACTGAGTCTCATGTCCGTAACGCAAGTGACACATCTTCCAATGAATTAAGTATAGGAAATTTCTCTAACCAACTAGATGCACAAAATATTGTAAAACACTCCACAAGTCGCAGTAACCTTTTCACACTTCCGCTCATCAGTGCACGGTCGTCGCCAAAGAAAATTTCTGACTTGAGAATGATAGCCTTACCAACTAAGCCTACAGTGATGTTAGTCACTGAATCATGTTGCCCCGCCTCGGTCCTTGATGTAGACTTGTGCATAGATGGTTATGCCTTTCGTCACACCAACCGAGATCACGAGCGTGGAGGAGGTTGTTTGATTTATAAATGTAGCCTTGTCACAGCTAATAAGGTTGAAGATGGTACGTTGAATGCTCTGCCTGACTCAATACGGGTTACTATAAACGGTACCAACCATAAAATCCTCGTAGGCTGTGTTTATAGAACACCATGTTCATCAAGGGAAGCTGATGAGCTTATTGCTCAGTCGTTTTTCTATGCTGCATCCACCAGTGCTGACTTCGAACTGACGGCAGGAGACTTTAACCTGCCTGAAGCCAACTGGGAAACCAGTTGTGGCTCACAACGCTGTGATGAAATACTAACTGCCTTAGGTTTCCATGGATAGAAACAATATGTCCATCCACCCACACCTGGGAGCAGTACGCTGGATCTAGTCTTTTGCCTTGACACCGTCCCAGTCACCACGTGCGTTGGTGGTGAATTCGCTAACAGTGATCACAGAATGGTTTTCTGTTGCCTAACAACCTCCCCTCCTTGTAAGAAAACCAAGAAACCCATGGGAAATATCTTGTATCGTAACTACAAAAGTATAAGCTGGGAGGTATTCACCGGGCTCCTCAGGTGCAGCTCATGGGATGGGTACTTCATCGCAGCCTAATTAAAAGAGTCGCTTTCGTTTTTATATAGAAATTTAACGCTATGTCTTGGTATCGTTGCTCCTATGGGAGCAGCTAAGGTGAAGAAGAAT